TCTCTCATCATGGGTGTTTCTATCTCTCTCTCCCTCTCCTTTCCTTTCTCTGAAATCAATAAAGATATATATATATATAAATATATATTTATATATATATAAATTTAAAAAATAAATTAAAAAAAACCCAAAAAGCAGCACAGGGTCTGGGACATGGTAGGTGTTCAGTGAATATCCTTTGAATCCTATGGTTTCCTTGCTTCAAAATCAAAGCAAAATCCCCAAACTTCCTGACTCTTCACTGTTCCACCCTGGGCAGGATTCACTTTCCTCTCATTCATTTATTTCAGGATTTCTTGCTGCTGTTTTAGACATTGGGGATTTGAAAGGGAATGAGACAGATGCAGACCCTATCCCCAGAGTTTCCAGGCTCAGAAGAGGCCCTGCCAAATAAATAGAAAATCACAATACCTGTGATCAGGGCAATGGGGGAGAAGTGCCAGGTCTGCAGGGACACAGAGAGTGGGAGGAGGGACCCAGACTAGGGAGAGTTAGGGGAGGCCATCTATATAAAGAGGCACTGAAACTTGGGCCTGAGCTATGAGTAGGCCTGGGAGGAAAATCAGCCAGGTGGGTGATGGACAAGCAGGGGGAGGGGCTGGAAGTGAGGGTTGGGGGAAATCAGGGGTCCCAGGAACAGGGCATTTAGAGCCTGGGAGATGAGAGCATGGTGGGTTCTAGGAGTAGAGAACAGCTTGGTGTGGCTGGAGGAGAAAGTACGAAAGGTAGCTACCAGATGAGGTGGGAGACGTAGGAAGGAGCCATTGGTAGTAAGAGTTCAGATTCCACACTAAGACATCCAAGGCCCTGCAAGGTCCTCCACTTTGCACCACAGGTTTGGCGCAGTTCTTGCTCAGGCTGTGGCCCGAGGGACCCTGTGAATTCCCATGCCTGTGAGGCTGAGCTCATGCAACTTCCCCCCTTAGATGTTCACCGAGAGCCTGCCCTGTGCCAAGTGCTGGCAACCCAGAGACTCAAAACTTGGCTCCACCCTGGGAGAGCTCCTGGGTTAATGGGGGAGGCAGCAGAGGAAATCATTAGCAGATAGAGAAATGCTGCGATGAAGGGTGCACAGGGCACGGAGGAGGCGGGGCTTGCGGGTAGACTGAGGGCTCAGGGAAAGTGACTCCTGAACTGGGTCTTCAAGGACAGGGAGTAGAACAAAAGGGGGCTTCAGAGCCAGCTTTGTGGGGTCACAGGATCCTTGAGCTCTGGATGAAGGCTTGAACCCTCTACCCAGGTAAATACACATACACACCATAACCCCCCCAAAAGACACACATGCACTCCTCAAAAGGCCTCTGAACTCACACCCGCCATTGACCTGCACGTCCCCCCTGCACACACACAGGAGCGCTTACACACACATTTGCAGGCAATTGTAAGTGCCCTGGGTCCCTCTGGCTGTGCCCGGGAAGCATGCCCTACCCCGCCCCCGGTGGCGGCCCCCGCCTTCACACCTGCAAAGCTCCCCGCTCAGCTCGGGACTCTGTACCTGTCGCCGGAAATTCATTGCTTATCAGCATCTGCCGCAGCCCGCGGCGGTGCCCGCCCCTCTGGGGCGCGCTGGACCACCCCCGCCCTCTAAGGATCCCGGCCCACCCCGGCCCAGTCCCGGGGCCCCCAAGGTTCT